CGACATTTTCTTGAGTGGATTCGTTTCAGCATAGGTTCCTTAGGGAAAATCTTGGAGCTTTCAGCCACTGAACCTTGCAGGAACAGACGCGGATCTTGCAAGGATCCATTGTTTTTTCCTGAGGAAACGCGAAAATCCTGAAAGAAGTGTGTAGCCACAGTTTTGCAGGATCCTGTCAAGTTTTCAGTTGAACGAATGACAGATAATAGCAGGATTCATCACTGTTTTAATGGCAGGATCCGACCAAGAAATCAAAAAATCCTGGAAGAAGTGTGTAGCCACAGAATTAAAGGATCCTGACAAGATATTGAACAGAAAAATCAAGGAATTATCAAGTTTATTGTCGTAGTCTTTAAAGGATCCTTCCAGGATTTAACAAACTAAAAAGCAAAAAACTAATTCAAGATCCTATGCTGTCCAGCTTTTAGGATCTCGCCAGGATATAATACTATCTACCTTGCAAGATCTTTCCAGGATTTAGTGCTACCTACTTTTCAAGATCTTGTCAGAGCTTATCTAGAATCGAAGAGGATATATTACATCTATTATCAAGATTAGAACTTACCGATATCTTGAGATGTTCTTGATAGGATCGTTGCAGCATATCTAAATAGAAGAGAACAAACATGGACATATAGAGATTTGAACTCTAGACCTTCAGTTCAAGAACTGATCAGCTAACCCGGCTGGACTGTGTTCGCGTTTTCAAGTTCATTTGTAAATTCATCTCATGTTTAGAAGTCTTTTCGACTTGTCCTTTTCATCAACACCATTCCGTCATTAAGTTTGATACTTCAGTATTTCCTATTATTTTTATTTAATAGATTTCTATCACTATCATAAAATATTTCGTTCATGGCAATATTTTCTGATGATTCATCAATTAATTTCTAATGATGAGCGGTATCCTATTTAAAATATTTTGAGAACTTTTTTCGGTATCTAATTCTAATAGATCTATTTATATTCTTTTTCTCATTAAAATACCACCTTAAACGTTTATTCAGTATCATCAATTGTTTGAATTTAAATAGGTGATGAACTACCAAGGATACATACTGGAATCAATCCAATCTGTTTTCAAGAAATAGTGAGTTTTAAATCGTAAAATCCTGTAGATGTTCACATATAAATCTCGATAGAATCCTAATGACTACGCTTAATAGTTAATTTCAATTATAAATTAAAGAGTCTTGATCAGAACTTACCGTTTTCCTTTCAGAAACAAACTCTTAAATCGCGAAAATTCGTTTTTTTCATGACCGTGACAAGATCTTGGGAAATACAAAAACTGTTTTAATAATAATCCTGATTACAAAACTGACCAGGACCGTACTAAAAACTTAACAGGATTTTCTCGCATATATTTTTCTTGAAAGGATCCGGACAAAATCTTAGCAAGATCCTATAAGCTTGTGAGCCATCGTTTTCTACTTCTTAGATAACTGCTTTCTAAAGGAATCGGTCAGGATTTTGATCAGTTCTTGGAGGACTCTTGTCCATATCTTGGTTGGTACTATCCAAAGGATCCTGACAGGAAACTATTCAGTGAATCTTGACAAAATCTTGCTATAGGATGTTTTCAGCATTCCTTCAAAAATCTGGATAGGATCCGACATTAACCTAAACACAGTTATGATTTACCGATCAGAATTGTAATCTGTCAAGGAACCGTGAAAACTCTTGAACAAGATTTCGTCTAATCCTCGATTATCCTGTAATCAGGATCCTAGAAGGATTAAATCAATATCCTAATCAAAACTTGCCAAGAACTTGAATAAGGATCTTGTCAGGATATCAAATAAGATCCTCAGTTAAACCTGACAAGATCCTATAGGTTGAGGATTCTGGAAGATCCATGCAGGAATTCTAAAAGAATGATCAGGATTAAGACTAACGCTGACTCAAACTACAACTTGATCAGCCCTATCGGTTCCAATCATAATCAATTTTCACCCCACCCACATCCATTCCCTCACCCTCACGTACACTGTCAATCACCTTAAACCACAGGTTTTTCTATAAAAACAATCATAAATGATGCTTCTAGATAAGGGTGTGGAAATGAGTGAGGGTGAGGATGTGGGTGGATGAAAATTTTGTATGATTGGAACGGATAGAGCTCGTCGATTTGTAGTTGGAATCAACGTTGGTTTGATTGGAACCTGCGCTGAACAAATCTACTCAAGAAAATGTCGGATCCTACCCGAAGGTATCCTACGTACGTTTTCATTGTGAAAATTGTGTGCTTTTGAGACTTTTTAATAAAAAAGAATAAATGAATCATAAAGCAGGAAAACTTAGGTGGTTTCATCACCAATTATCATTGTAATAGTAGGTGCAAAAGAGTTGAAACAGAAATAGGAGGTAATGTGATCGTTGCGGCGCAATGTGGCTGCAATCGAAAACATAGGTCGTTGCCTTTATAAAAAGAGAAGCGAATTTCTTCATTTTTACAAAAAAAAACAAAATACTTTGAATTTCACTTTATTAGATAAAATGGGTGCAGAAAAATCAAAATCAAGTTCTACAACGACAATGCACAATAACCAACCGCGACAACGCATGGTTCCAAACTACACTGAAAACAAAAAAGGTACTCTACCAAACTCATCAAAAAGGTTTCGTAAGTGTCAAAAGATTGCAAATGTGTCGACATGTTCAAAAAAATGCTTTTCAAAAATCTACGAAACCAAAAAAGGATCGGTCGACGGGCACACGTTCCGAAACCTCATCACGGAACCTTTTAAGGTTTCGTCACAAAATACGAAACCTTCTTAGATTCGTATAAAGCCATAGTGCGAAACCTTAAGGTTCCGTATTTTCTGACGAACCTTTATTGGATGCGTGCGAAACTTAAAAAGGTTCCGTGATGAGGGTTCGGAGCGTGTGCCCGCCGACCAATCTTTTTTTGGTTTGGCAGATTTTGAAAAGCATTTTTTTGAACATGTCGACACATTTGCAAGCTTTCCACACTTACGAAACCTTTTTAATGGGTTTGATAGAGTACCTTATTTTTTTTCAGTGTACCTCTTAGTTTGGGTGGATGCCAACATCGATGAAAAGGACCAAGACTGTCAGAACACTTTGACTCACTTACGAAGTGTTGTCAATGATGTCAATATATACACTCAACCAGATGCTTGCGTTCAATTCCTCAAAAGCATCAGTGATGAAAAAGCTTTCGTCATCACATCGGGATCCTTAGGTCAACACTTAGTTCCCAAGATTCACGGCATTTCACAAGTGAATGCCATCTACATATTCTGTGGCAACAAATCCAGACATGAAAACTGGACAAAGAGCTGGTCAAAAGTCAAAGGTGTTCACACAAATATCAAAGAAATCTGTGAAGCACTGACCACGAGTGTTAAACAATATAATCAAGATTCCATCGCCATGAGTTTTGTCACCGTAAGAGGAGAGGGTTCCAATGTCAATCTCAATCAATTGGAACCGAGTTTTATGTACACGCAAATATTTAAGAAGATTCTCCTCGAAATGGAG